TGTGATTATGTATGACACAAGTTTTGCAGTCTAGTACTGGAAAATTAGCGTTTGGATGGCATATTGCGGCTTTAACCATGCATAGAATCAGTGTGATATGCCAGAGCAACACCGGCGTGTTGAAAATGTGGAATCCTGGCTTTAATGTTATATAACGACTAATCTAATGGTTTGTAATTGTTGTTGCAGGGTCGTACACGCTGGCACTTGCAAAGGAGTTGGCTTCCAAAGCCTGATGTCGACGATTCCTTGTTTGGCGCCCAGTCTGAAGCCGGACTTTGTCACGATCGTCAACGCAGAGACTAAGCAGGAGCATCAGGTGCAGCAAGAGCAACCGTAACAGATAAATGTACCAACGTACCGTGCAGTACACATGTTCATCATTGCCGACAAAACTCCAGTCTATATGAAGCAATACTTGTAATATAATTCCAAACGATGGCTGCACAGTACGACATTTAATTCGTCTTATTTGATTGTTTTCTACACACTTGAGATCTTTCCTCACTATCAAGAAAGTGGATAAGTATATATTTCTTTACTGTGAGTTTTCTGCTAGCAGCTATGACTCTACCGGTTTCGTTATGTGAGAGGCATGTGTCATGGCAACATACATATAGGATGAAAATTATACTATTACTGTTACTATTAGTTACACGTATCATAGCCTGTTAAAATAGTAACAAAATCAATAATACACACTGTTCCGGAGCATATTGTTCATGTTTCTATTGAATTTGCGTTTATGTTTGTTCGGTTTACTGTCAAACTATCCAGTCTAACTATCTAACTGTCATACTATCAGCATATTATAACGTGTATTTAGTTCGATGCATTCCATGTAATCATGTGTATTCATTGTGTATATTAGTCACAATTTTACTAGTCTGAAATTAAAGGCTTCTTGTAATGACACAATGTTGGCTGCGTTGGTGTTGCTCAATAGTTGATTACTAACAACCACCCTATGCCAAACAACTGTGCATGCATACATGTGGTAGATTCTGAAGGTATGTTATTTGCGTTCTAGACAAATACCCCCTGGCAATTACCCCCCCCGCCCGGATCAATTACCACCAGACAATTACTCACCTGTTGTTTTTATCATGAGTGAACAGTGATAATACAGTAGGAGTCGAGGTGGAGCGGAAGAGGTGGTGGAGGAGGAGGGGAGAGGTGGAGGAGGTTAAGCGGGAGGGTCAGGTGATGGAGAGTTCACTTCGCCGTGTATACAGGGAAATGTATAGTTGGAGTGATGTACACTAATCGGCCCCAGACAGTTAGAGTTAGGGTTGAAGTGTGCAGTTTTAAGTGGACAAATTAAAACAAATGCCGTATGTAAACGTGCTGCAGCAGTTTACTATTTATAGTGTGTGAAGAGTTAACATTCAGGAATAAAGAACAAAAGTTGAAAAAGAAAATGCAACAAGCAGAAAGACGTTTACTACACTCACTTAATAGTAACAGTTTGCTGAATGCTCATGCAATAGAAATCGATTAAAGCAATTATACACAATAAATGAAATAAATGACTATAACTTAGTAACTAGTACCCCTATCTATAGCTAGCTAGATAATGAATTACCCTAGCAGGTCTAGTCCAGGCAAGTATTATTTTAGAAGTGAAATCCGATAGATTCTTAAATTAGACTTTCTACATTACTGACGCGCTGTAGATTGTATCTACGCACGTCTTGCGAGAGCCTCTAACCTTGTCTGTGCGTGCGTGCGTGCGGTGTACAGTACTCGTGTTGTAGAGGAGCATATGAACGGCATTTACAAAAAGTTATCGGCTATAATAGGCGAAAGGGAGTAAAGAAACGTTGGTAGTAAATACATTTCGTGCTTATTTGCCATGATTTTTTTTATTGAGACGTTTCAAGTGCCTGTGGTTCAAACATGCATATTACTGTACACATTTGATAGTGTACATAAAACACATACAGACTTTCCTACTCACATAGCGCAATCAGTCTACGTGCAAGTTTTATTGTTTATGCTTTCTAGCATACATCTGGTTAAAATGCCAGCCCACTATTTTTACATAAATAATTTGCAATTGCTCAATATTCAACATAATACAGACTTACATTCCATGGTCTTATCAGTGAGATTTCGTTTGCAATGAAAACAGCGCAAAATAACAAAAACATGTATTTTAGGCTAACCGAATAAATTCAGATTGTTTATTCAGCACACAGAGGTGAACATGTTAACAATTTAGAATACAGTGATATATATCAACTATCCTAAGCCTTTAACAGTTACATATTGGACACCGGGCTCCAGTGACTAGCAGCAAATATTAGAATATTTAATTACACCTCTTTTTCTCCGTTAAAGCCAAAGACCACATAGATCGCCAAATAGGACTAAACAAGTAACAGCTACACAAGTGTCTTCATTTTCGGTGACATCTATTCATTATAATTCAGCTGAACGGAACTTGCATTTACACGTATCAAGCGATACAAACAGAACCACTCCTATATAACAATAAATGCTACTTTCAACAAGAACACCCGGAAATCTGTTTGAGAACAATCGGAATGAAAGCTAAAACCCAGAGCGAATGGGATAATGAGTGCGCCGGCCACAAAGCAGTAGTGCTAAGGTGAAGGGAAGTATCATCAGCGTCCATAGAACAGATTTCCTCATCAGCGCTGACGAGCGCATTTACTTGGTCGCCATGTGGTTGATCAGATCAATGACACGGCAGCTGTAGGCAAACTCGTTGTCATACCTGCAAAACACCCAAGTTTAAATCACAATGAAGTTCCAGCTCGGCTGTATACGTACGTGTATTAAAACTACGGCAACACGAGAAATTAAACTCCAGCCTTCTAATGTTCTTGACAGCAAAACCATTAAAACAACAGACACGAAAAATTTCCATTTGGGTTTTAATGTCATTGTCGAAACTCCTATTAAATCAACAGCGATTCAAGCATGTAACTCTTGGCTACACTAGTTCTTGATCAGAATAAAGCCAAACTACAATAACGACCTTGGCAGGAACACTTAAAACTACCGCGGTATCTTTCCAAATAACAACGTTAAAAATACAGCAACACGAGAATTCACCCCAAACCTTAGCTTCCCAATGGCCTTGAAAAAGAGCACCGTTAAACTAAATGTCCTTAAATAGAACATTGATAAAACTACAGCAACGTTCAAGAAAACATCCTGAATGCCACGCAGGCACACCAAGACTTAGAACAACAGTTAACTTGTTTGTCGACTCGACGACTACGTACCAGGCAACGAGCTTGACGAAGTGCTCGTTCAGGGCAATGCCTGCTCCGGCATCAAACACGCTGCTAGATTGGCTGCTGATGAAGTCAGATGACACAACCTGAAACCGGCAAACATAAAGTAAGATGAGGTAATGTAAGCACAGACTTTAGGCCAGTTAGGTACCTACTTTGAAATTGTCTGTATACATTTCCTTGTACAGGTGCTACACCAGCACATTGCACCACCTATCTTTAGTTTAGTACAAGAGCATAATCTGTGTGTGTCACTCGTGTGGGAGGGGGTCACTCGTGAGAAACCCCCAAAAAGTTTCATACATAGACAGGTGTCAGTTCTATAACGATGGTTTCACATTATAACTGCCACTTAAGGATACTCTCCACGTTGTGCATGAAATTTCATCGATTTTTCGTTTTCAACTTTATTCGATGGCTAACACTATGTGCCACCTGTGTACATGCTAATTTCTCCATATAACGGTACATGTGAACTGTCAGAGCGTTTTTGCTTGCTCGCGTACATGTGTGGTAAGCAGCTTCTGACGTCATGTCGGAGACATGATACAACCAACATACATCGTCAACCCTGCACAGCTGCATTACATGTAATACATGTACATTCATGTACATCTGTGCTATGATCCAAGCAAGTATCCCACTGCCCAAAATAGTTCTAACACCATGCAACACACCTTACATCACCCATCATTATTACTCAGTACATCGCACGCGTTTGTTGACATATTAGCTTTGTGACTAGTGATATTAGTTCTGTGATGGTAACTCGACTAATTTCTCAGGAGAATTTCTCAAGGTGCATGAACATTTTACCAATTTAGCGTGTCAGTGTCGTCGTGGGTATGTCGCAGGTAAAGTACTAACAATAGATTTCTCACATACGTTCACCCATTTGCACACAGGACGTCACTCCATTGTGAAAATAGAAAACCTGATTTCTGCTCCGTTCGTGATTTCTGACATAGTACGGCCGATGTTAGTAAATGGATATTTCTCTTGATTACAAACTCGATTAATTTAATTTTTACACTCGTTTTAATGGTAACATATTGTGGTAAAAGCGGCGTCCGGGATTGGTATAAGTGGCGTACTTTATTAGTTATGGCCCTTTAGTTCTAAAATTTCTATTTAACACATCAACTTGAATTTTCTCGAGCAGGGCTTTGATCGAGTTTTCTCGGTAAAATAGTGACAATAAAAGAAAAAATCCTGACGTGCTATTTGGTCCCATATTGGCGTTGAACATGTGGCTAAAAAATTTTGTATCCTTCTTCTTTCTGGTAGTTAGAAATATCCAAAATTACCATTTTTACAATAAAAATTCAAATTTTGTGTGGTAACATAATAGTGGCTGGAAAATTTCATGAAATTTTTTGAGCTTGAGCATAGAGATATATGCCTCTATGAAATAAAACAAGTGATTGATGTCGATTCATTCGCAAATTAAACGTTTAATCTTCACTAGAGCAATACCCGTGCACAACGTGGAGAGTATCCTTAAAGGAAACGCAGAAATTCCCATTACAGACGAGCATCCATTCTATAATAGATGGGACCCCCAACCTGACCACGAAACTCGTTCCCATCAGGGTATAAAAATACACGGGAGCGATGAGCGAGTCAAACCTCCAAAATCGCTCCCGTAAAAAAATTTGACGAGAGCTATTTCCCCCAGACTTGAAAAAAGAGCTCGAGGACCGTGGAAAAAAAGCAATATTTTCCGTGGTTCCCATCCACTCACAGCATCCTCAGTGTACTCTAAGTATCCCTTCATGGGTCCGTCGGCAGCAGCCTTGACGGCCTTCTTGATCGCGTCATAGCTGGCTGGCTTCTCCAGGCGGCAGGTCAAGTCAACAACTGACACGTCGGGTGTGGGCACACGGAAAGCCATGCCGGTCAGCTTCCTGTATGGAACGTATTGGAGAGTCGTGTTAGTGCCGAAGAAAAAAGTAAAGTCCGCCACAGAGTATAACGAGATAAACCATGATATGTACGTATATATATGTATATATATACACATACTCACGACTGTGCATGTGCACACCCATGCACACGTTTTTTGAGACGGAGCAGAAGTTGGGAGAATCTTACCAGACCACCATAAGTTCATTCATTGATAACTAATCACTAACCCTGTAGAGGCTACTCAGGCTCTGTGCTCAATGTTTCTAGCTTAATTACAATAATGGATTAACACTCCTTCCATGGCAAATCAAACCACTCACAATGAACTAGAAAATAACATAAATGAGAATGCTTTCAGAGACTTACCCGTTCAGGGCTGGGATGACCTTGCCGACAGCCTTGGCAGCTCCAGTGGATGCTGGGATAATGTTAGCATGGGCGCCACGACCATCTCTCCATTGCTGAAGAAGTGTAAATGTTATGAACCTTTAATAATAAGTTTTTAACTACTACAAAGACTAATTATACAAAAGACCTCAAGAAAACAAACCAAACCCCAATGGACTAAGTGATCATCATATATAAAAACAATATTAAATACTAATGGTCTACAACAAATTAACACAGATAATTAAGTGAGATCCGGAGCCATCGCTGGAGGATTTAGGAAGGCTTCAACTCACCTTGGCACTTGGGCCATCAACGGTTTTCTGTGTAGCAGTGTAGGCATGGATGGTTGTCATCAGACCCTCAATCATGCCGAAGTTGTCATTGACCACCTTGGCAATGGGAGCCAAGCAGTTGGTTGTGCAGGAAGCATTGCTACAATGTAAATGAAAGTGTCAATGACACTGTAGGTCACCACAAAAAGGGCACAAATGAGTGCACCGAGTGGGGGGGGGGGCAGTTTAGCCACCACAGTTTTAACAGTATTTAGTGGTACTATACTAAAGGTATTAATTAGACTTCTAATTCATTCCTTCATTGTTCTTAGCATTCCTCCATAACTACTTTCTAGTAACATATGTACTACAAAATCGCAACCCCCCCAAAAAATAACCCTAGCAAGACGGTTTCTTGGAGCTAGCAAGGCGGTAACATTTTTATAATATTCAGATTTAGGCACTGCCTAAAAGCGGAGCTCCCGATGTGTAACGTGTAAGATTGAGAGGATACGCTTATTCCACGTGACAATGGTGTTTCCCTGCCCATAACACAACTTTTGTCAAAGGTTAATTGGTTGCATGGAAGTGTTTACTTCGTATGAGTTTTTCTAGGCGGTAGCACACGGTTGCCATCTGCATATCGCAATAATTTATATACCAAAATGAATCACAATTTGTGACAGTAGATGGCGCTATACCCGCTTTGATGTTTCTTAGCGATGGCGTTCGAAATAAATAGGTTATGCTGCGTTCCGACATGTTTTGTAAAACTTTACTCTAATATAGACGTTTTATCGGCAAGGTGGAGAGGAAATACCAATTTTGCATTAAAGATATTGTCAATAAAATCTTGTAAAACGAACCAGACGAGTGTGACACCACAGACTTATCTGCGTGTCTATATAATATGCTATATAATTGCCAAAACCTACCTAATTTGCATTAAAAAAAAATTTAATATCAAAACCCCCTGTAATACGTTTTAGGGCCAGCCCTTATTCATTCACATACCAAAAATGAGCAAAACCCGTTGAACCTGAACTGACTAATGGCAATTTCCACTTTTGCCAAAAAATTGCCGTGGCTCGAAAGTACGTCGACTGGCGTGCTCCAAAATAGGACGTTCAAACCTCTCCCATAGCAGTAACAACTATACCCAATTTCAAACATGTGGGTCAAACAGTTCCCCCGAGTTATTGTTGACCGTAGCCAAATGTTGACGAACGGACATACGACCCATGGCAATAGCTCATATTGACGATGTCAAGGCGAGCTAAAAATGGGAATAATAAAGATGCCCCATATACACAACACAAATTGATAAATATGCAAAGTATGAGTGAAAGGCAAAGAGCAACACTGGTCACATGTGACCCAGTGAAAAAAATACACGGGGGCTCGGGGCGATTTAGCCCCCGAAATGCCAAAAAGAGCCCCGGAAATGGCAAAAAGAGCCCCCGTAAATTTGCATAGAGTTCAATGCAAACCAAATTTTAGAGTGCTATTTTCATGCACGCGAGCTTGAAAAGTAGCCCCTGAAAAATAAATTATATTTTTTTCCCTGATGTGACCTATCTGAATGGAGTGATTGACAAGTAGTTGTTGCTAATGATTGTGATGCAAGGCGCTCCAATAATGCTGTTTTGTGATGCAAAGTTGACATTTTGACACACAAGTTAGGAATACACTGGGTCGCTAGTAGACTAACCTAACCTAACCTAACAACAATACCATGGGGGAGAGGATATCTTGCAAGTAAGGTCAAGTATCGTGTAATGCTCTCGTGTCCTACCTGACAATGTTCATGGAAGGCTTATAGTCCTCATGGTTCACTCCCATCACGAACATGGGTGCATCGGCAGAAGGTGCGGATATGACAACCTTCTTGGCGCCGCCCTGGATGTGGGCATTGGCCTTCTCAATGGTTGTGAACACACCTGCACACAAGAAAGCAACACCTTATATAATAGCTACTAAACATGATCTTACACACCTACGCAGAGATCTTACACAATCGCTACCAAACCATATTTTATTCAATTATCTATATAAAATAATCTTTTACTATTTTATTTATTTATTAGATATATGTATTTGACATGTCTTTAGTGCCCATGGAAACTCAGATTGCTGAACTTGACATCGATAGAAACGTACAGAGTTGCAGTTAGGGCAGTATTTATGTTAAGTTATGCAAATGTTAGCAAAACTCTCCTTAGGTTGCAGGACAAGTAGCATGAACCCCACAGAGCAAGCACGAGTCCACGAGAAGCACATCACCGTAAACACGAGGCTGGCTGCTACTTACCGGTGGACTCAACGACGTACTCTGCGCCGGCCTTTCCCCATGGAATGGCGGTGGGCTTCATCTCCTGGAAGACGGAGATGGACATTCCGTTCACAATCAGCTTGCCTCCCTCAACCTTGACGTCACCCTTGAACCTGCCGTGTGTCGAGTCGTACTTGAACATGTAGACCTGTCAAAGGTGCAATATCGGAAAACGTGAAAACTCAGGCTATAATAAAAATATTGTTTGTTTGCCCTCACCCAGACCGACCCACCAAAAAGGGGCAGACTCAAAAAAAATTTATTGATCTTTTTTTCTTTCTTTTTTTTTTAAACAAATTGTATCACTGTACATTACATAAATCTGTAGGCAATACATTACATGTACCAAGCAAAAGAAACATTCAACATAAAAGGTATCTCCACACAAGCACATCCGAGCATGTAGACACCATGCTGATTTTGTAAAAAGACCCCGCAATCAAAAAAGAAAAAAAGAAAAGCCGACCTACCTACCCAAACTTTTCAGCCTGGGTCGGGTGAAGGCAAACAAAGATTTTTTTAATTGTGACCTCAACACATGCCATGCCACATTCTACGCAATACAATGAGGACAAAATGGGATAAAAATGATGTGAAACAGGAGTCAAATATCGCATTTGGCAGCAACCTACCATGTAGTTCAAGTCGATGAATGGGTCGTTGATGGCAACGACGGTGGCGCCCTTCTCAACAGCGGCACGCAGCACCAGACGGCCGATACGGCCAAATCTACAAACACGACCAAAAATTATGCGAGCCATCCACATCAAAAAATTAACGAGCAGAACATTGAAAAACACAAAAAATAGATTCTGATCCACCATACAAAGATCGATAAGCAATAACAGCTAACGACGCTACAATCACTATCGTATACAACACTCACCCATTGATTCCGATCTTGGGAGACATGGTTATGATAGTTTATTACAACAACACACGGTTCAGGAACAAAAGCTGAAAGAAAAGCAAAAATCTAATTAACAAACATCCAACAATACGATGTAAACGCCTGCAATGTCACCGTTCAGAAATCAAAAGATTGATTAGGGCACTATGACATTCATCACTGCTATCTCAAGTCATATCACCAAGATGATCAAGTGGCACACACAGTACTCAACCATCAGCAAATAAAAGATTCCGTTTGTATAACCAATAGTGGTTTGCCTTGAGCGTTTGCACAACAAACATTTACGACCTAACCAGGGATGACTTGACCTTTAACCAGATATCATCTAAATCAAAATAATACGTGTGGCAAATTCCAAAGTGTAACACAACCTCCATAGTTGTTTATTACATTCATGTCAGAAGGCAACGTCTGGCTGGAGTAGCAGTAAGCATGGATAGCAACTTCAAGGACATAGCTGCCCCTGGATGGTAGGGATTTCAAATATAGCCAGCTAAACCAGATCCATATTATCAAGCACAGTAAGAATGCAAAATGCCAAACTACTATGGCTGGCTACAGTGGTAATCCTTCACACAGGGATGTATTCTCCTTGGAATTTACGAGACTGAACACCCCTACGCTCACACAATGTGTTTCTGAAGTGTAAAGGAAATTGGACTCTACTGTACTTGTCGCTTCTTCATGCCATGCACTACAGCTAAAAATACACAGGCCAGCCCGATCAATACACTTTCGATTTTCAAAACGCAGCTAAACAATCAACAGCAGAAGCGCTCACAGAAGAGAAAATGTCAGGTTCACAAAAATTGACATCGGTTGTGGTTGGGAAACTGGAGAAATACAGCACACACAGTAAGAATAGACCTTCTACAGATTCAAATTGGTATCAGTTTAAAATTTGCACTTACATGATATACTACTACTTAGCTAGAGCGTCCTTCATAGCAAACTAACTAAGCTACTACTACAGGCTACAAAAATGGAAACGAAAACAAGGCCAAGATAAAAATACATGCTGGTACACACTACACACACATACAGATGGAAAGTTGTCCAATATCAAAACTTGCCTATAGGCCTACAGCTGAGAGACCATACACACAGCAGCACCACTTCCACGAAAATAGCTTCTCAAAGGTGTACCATTTCAGACCTACTACACATCTGCCGGCACTACTGTACGTAGGGGCTGAACATTTGACATTTAGTCCGCGAATCTGCTGGGCCTATATTAATCTGCAAATAGGTTTAGCCATCTCACTTCTTATACGACAGTAATAGGACATGGTATACAGTCTGGAACCATCACACTACTCAAGACTCACACAAAGATCCTTAGAATCTGACAGTTACTATGTTAAGCTCTCTTTTTACATACTCTTTAAATGCTGTTTGGAACATTAGCATAGGGAAAAGCTACCTAACAACAATCCCGATCAAAAATTAACATTGGTATTTGAGGAGCACTTCTTGGGTACACTCAAGAGAGATATCGTCTACAATTATAGATAATCCAAGTGCAATCAAGGTTACGGTCAGTCGGTCATACACATCTGTGTATGGCACACTGCATGTAGATCGTATTCTGAAAGATCTTGTGAATCTCAAGGCACTAATTCATGTAATAATTTTGCCAAACAGTCAACATCACATTAGACTCTACTGTTGTTGTTTTTTTTAATTTACAATGTTCTTTAATTGGTTACTATTTTATACAGTAATAGTTTCCTCAATGGATTTTAATGATTAAGGTGATGCAAGATAGCACTTAACTCTCATCTTGTGCAAAAATGTAACACTGCCTAGTAAATTGCTATTACAGCAAATAGAATTAATGTTCGGCAGATGAGATAAAAACTTGTTACCCGATGGAAACAAATGGGATCAGGTGCTGATGTGGTTCAAATAGATTACGATTACTTTCAGTTACATGCTATAGGTATCGTGCCCTCTTGTTCAACCCATGTTTGGTTCCTTTGTATTTATTTACAGTACAGTTCAACTCTCTGTCCGTGCCCTCATCACTTCGGAGGTTTTTTTTAGTTCTTTGCTTAATTACCAAGATCTCTCAAAGTATTGAACAAAGTAGTTGAAAGGTGCAGTGCTAACGCACAGAACGTTTGAAAGGTCTGGGGTCAAGTCCTTGAGCAAGGCACTTTATAGTGAATCACTTGGAAGGTGGGATGTAGGAACTTAGGAAGATGTGCTTTCCTTGCCTTTCCAGCTACAGCAGGGGTAGCAATTAACTTTTGAACAAGGGAGTCCAACGGACTACCCTCAAAAAGCGGGAGTCTGCAGTCTGAGGTTCAAAATTAAAAATATTAACAATAATGCATGTGCTTATTTTTAAGATTCATGCAGTTGCACGTCTGTCAAATTTTCTTTGGGTATTAGCTGAAACAAGTGCCGCAGAGCGACAGGGCTCATCTGGTGTATTTTCTGCTGATAAATTCATTTGTGCATAGCAAGATGTCCTATACATACGTTCATTTCTAACCCAAAACAAGAGCCGCAGAGCGTCTGGGCTCATCTGAGGTCTGTTGCTACGATTATAAACGTAAAATTTCAGTCGTGCGTAGTACTACATTTGTTAGGCGCAGATATGCAGACACGCAGTTGCGTACACATCATTGTTAGGACACGCCCACTATGATAACACAGGTAGGAGATTGAGGAGGAGGGAAGAAGGTGGTGGAGGAGGAGGAGGGGGAGAAGGTGGAGGAGAAGGAGGAGGGGGAGAAGGTGGAGGAGAGGAGGGGGAGAAAGTGGAGGAGGAGGGCCAGGTGGTGGAGGAGGAGGGAAGAGGTAGAGGAGGGCGCCTCTACCTCCTCCTCTCCTTCTCCATCACATTCTCCCCCCCTCCTCTTCCTCCTCCCTCAACCACCACCTGCACCTCCTCTACCTCCGCCTCTCCCCCTCCTCCTTCACTACCTTCTCCGTCGTCCTCTAACTCCTCCTCTAAATGTCCGGGGTGTATTTGTCCTGATACCGTTTATTTGTACTCTTAGCCACGAAGTTCACTTCGCCGTGTATACAGGGAAATGTATAGTTGGAGTGATGTACACTAATCGGCCCCCAGACAGTTAAAACGAATGCCGTACATGTAAACGTGCTGCAGCAGTTTACTATTTATAGTGTTTGAAGAGTTGACATTGAGGAATAAAGAACAAAAGTTGAAAAAGAAAATGCAATGAGAAGAAAGACGTTTACTACACTAACTTAATAGTAACAGTTTGCTGAATGCTCATGTAATAGAAATCTACTGTATTAACAATTATACACAATAAATGAAATAAATTACTATAAATATAACTTAGTAACTAGTACCCCTATCTATAGCTAGCTAGATAATCAATTACCCTAGCAGGTCTAGTCCAGGCAAGTATTAGAGTCTCTACATTACTGACGCGCTGTAGATTGTATCTGGGCACGTCTTGCGAGAGCCTCTAACCTTGTCTGTGCGTGCGTGCGTGCGTGCGTGCGTGCGTGCGTGCGTGCGTGCGTGCGTGCGGTGTACAGTACTCGTGTTGTAGAGGAGCATATGAACGGCATTTACAGAAAGTTATCGGCTATAATAGGCGAAAGGGAGTAAAGAAACGTTGGTAGTAAATACATTTCGTGCTTATTTGCCATAATTTTTTTTATTGAGACGTTCCAAGTGCCTGTGGTTCAAACATGCATATTACTGTACACATTTGATAGTGTGCATAAAACACATACAGAGACTTTCCTACTCACATAGCGCAATCAGTCTACGTGCAAGTTTTATTACCTCCGCGCAACGGAGTTGCAGGGAGGTAATGTGATCCCTCTCGTGTGATGCGTTCGTG